AACCCCATGCTTGACCCAAAATGTGCAATCCTCCAGCAGATTGTTAGAAGCTTTTGCCACAAAGGAGATGCTACATGATGGGTCTGGACCAAAAAGACACGGCCTCCCTCAAACAAGAGTGGCAAGTGGAAAGAATGATGAAACACAAACACTGCAGCGTCACAAAAAAAGGAGTCCTTCTGCAGGTACGTACTTGTGTTGCCGGTCTGCAGGAGCCGGAGCACAAAAAACCGACCTCTTCACTACTTTCAACAAGACCTCTCTGAGTGATCCTCACTTCAAGCTTTCAGTGGTCCTCTGAAGCCAACGCCTCTCAAGACGGACGCCTCGGACCGATCCACCACGAGTCCGCGCTTGGCACCGACCGATCGAGCTCGGGACACTCGGTGTGAACCCACGGGGAGAAAGATGGGTCTTTGGGTGTCGATCTGAAAAGTAAACGACAAGTTTGGTCATCCAGCAGTCACGTTCGACGGGGTGCGATCCATGGAGGTAGTCCGGGTGCCCTGTCACATCCACTCACGTAAGGGGACGTTTCACACCACCCCGACATGTGACTCATGTTTTGTCTTTATTGGATTCTCCCCCTGGATATGATCCACTGGTATTCATCTGATATTTTGTCTCCTTCGCATCCGCTTTGAGACATTTTGGCATCCGTTTTGAGGCACGCGCTGCCAGGTTGCAACTCCTGGGACTCGAAAAGAACCGAAGCTAAAACTTTCATCTCCACAGCGAAGGCTGTAGTTGCAGTGTCAGTTGGGTTTCTCCAACCTCTGAAACCAACTGGTGCGGGGAAAACGTGGTCTGTCGTTGTCCGACCTCTGAAACCTTGGGGGGGAAGACCGGTCTGGCAGGGTGGATCCGATCGGCTTCTGACAGGGGCAGATAGGGATCCGGAGGCCTAGTAGCTTCTTGTTACTACTAGTAAGGCACTTGTTACTAGAAGCGATGCACTTGTTACTAGAAGCTTCTTGTTACAGAGAAGTGGAATCAGTTGCTTTTTGGAAGAGGCTTGCTCAGGAGGCTGAGGCTCAAGGACTGGGGTATGGGGGATTGGACTGTGTTCATGTCATGGGCCCGCAAAGGCGTGGTGGTGTGTTTTTTTTTGGTGTTGATGATTGAGGATAACAGATACCAACGCATATCTCGTCTCTGTATACGTAGCAATGATATATATATATATATATGTATATATATTTGCAGGGCATCTGTGACGGTAATTTGAGACACATTGGGTCTGAACACCAAACTGGAAGAAAAATACTGCTTCACTCTTAAGAATGAAGAACTACTGCATGTTCTACCTGATACTGTATCGTTCAGGTTCTCCTCCTCACTCCTTTGGTGCTAGTGTTTTCCAAACTGGCTGCTCTCGAGGAGGGCCAAACCTCTCCACACACCGCTCTCCTGGAAGCTCCGCAAAAGGTAGCGATGAACCGCAAGGAGATCTTCAGTGGATCCTCCATCTAAGCAAACGCTGCTGGTGGAGAGGCAAAGGATTCCAGGACCCAAATGCAGTCGTACATCTTGGGTCAGTTCTTGTCTGCTCTCGTCACCACAAAAAAAGAAGTGCCGAAATTTGGACAGAGAGTGAAGCGACTGCTCGGCGACTCAACAAGCTTTGCGACTGCTCCTCTGGTTGACTGTTCAATCAGTATACCACCAAGCAAATCTGCCCCCCCCCCCGAACACCCCACCCCCCACACACAAAATGCAAATCAAAAGATCAAAACTACAGTCTGTGCTCCGAGGACCATCTCACAAGTGAGTGCGAAATCGCTGCTGTGTCAAAACCCAAGGCCCTTGTGCTTGGACGCAAAGATAGCTTATGGACGACATCTTCTCACCCCGCCAAAAGGGAAATGCATCGTCGGTTTCAACACAAAAAATCTCATGTGTGGTTGTTTGGGCGGTTCGGCAAAAGCACTGGCCACACACTCTGCTTCGAATAACAAGTCGCCTGGAGAGGAACGCAAACGACCTAAGTCGGTGCAGCTTGGGATTCAATACCAGAGGCAGCAACCAACAAATGCCCAACGAAGGCCAGAAGATCTGGAATCCAGTAGTCCTCCCAAGGCAAGTACAGTATATAAAAAGCAAAGGTTAAACAGCCCAGACGACTCAGGATAGATGGGAGAAAAATGTCAAAAGGAACAGAAATCCTCTGAAAACTCGGTTGTATTAGGTTGTTCATTGTCTGCCCTGACTTGCTCCGGGCTTCGCACACAGCTCCAAAGCGCATCGCACCACTGCTTTCGCCTCTCAAGCGGAGCAGCTGACTGCAGAACAGCAAAGTGTTATGGTGAAAACAAATGTCCATCGGAAACCACACAAGGGACTAGTGACTAGTTCATAGGGCAAAACACAAAACTAACCTGTGGATACCTGTGGTACAATATATACCTACTTTAAACCAGAACGTGCATGTCCTTGCAAGTGGCTGCTCCAAAGCTCAGTCGGAAGGAGGACAGCACACCATCAAAGAGAGGTCTGAGGAGCAGCACTCTGAAACACTGAAAGCCTAACAAATCTCCTGCACTCTTGGCAGCTTCTACTGTTCTCCTTGAAAAAAGCCCTCTTTCACCTTGCACGATCTGAAGATCTACTATACTTGAAGAGACCAAAGGAATGGGTGTCTCAGGTGTTTCAGTGACCACCGGGCCATAGCTCCACTGGCTGCGCTACTCTGCAGCTTCAGCAAATCTCGGAGCTCCTGGCACGAGACGGCGGCCATCGAGCGCGTGATGGCTCCAAACTCTAGGACTTTAGGGCCCTTGGCGGCCAGAGCTTGGATTGTATAACTTTATAGCGTTATAAGAAGTTATAGAAATGATGCTGGTGTGGAATGTCTAAAGGAATAAAGGAATCTCAAAACCCCTGCTCGGCATGGCTCGCCAATCCTCATTTAGAGAACTCCACTGGAACAATCTGTGATGGACAACATAGGAACGATTGACTTCCAAATTGTCTTTGAACCTGTGGCATTGGGTGCTCCTTTGTGGTGTAAGGAAAGCCAGATTCTGATCGAGATGCATGCCAGTAAAATGCGGCCTCACTCAAAGTCCGGCATTTGACGAGCAGAATTAAATCTCCAAAACAAAAAAACATGCAGAATATCTCCATCTCGAACTAACTGGGCAGGATCCCAACCCACTGCCCAGTCGCACCTGGTCAAGACGAGCTTTCTTCTGAGGCCGCTCGTAAGGTGCCTGTCGTTTCTGCGCTCGAAGAAGAGTTGATGGGCCGTTGTTGACCTCCAAATCACACTGGAAAATGACACGTGCAGTCAGACTTAAGTATAAAATATAGCCAAGAATTCCTCACCAAATCCTTGGGCATGGTTCGCAGGTGTGCATTGTCTGGTGAACATCTCCATCATCTCCAACATAAACTGCTCTTGCTTTGCTGAAAGACCATGGGTTTGGATCTTGATCCAAAGATATCCTAAGCACCGGTTTGACTCTCTCCAAAGCATGAGAGTTGATGCTGCCCAAGTTCCGACCGCCTGTCCGGACCGCAGGTCGCGATGAATGCGTCGTCTCCAACGGGAACACCCCGCCAAGGCTGACCTCTTCTTCGGGGCCTTGGTGGCCTTCGTGACCTAGGAGCAAAGAAGCTACGTTCGGAGCATTTCGGGCGTCGCCCAAGTCTGTCCGATCCGACCCCCCCGGAGGCCCCGAGCCGTTGCGGCCCGTGCGGCCCGTGCATCGACCCACCGAAGTCTATGTTGACCCGAGGCAGCCGGGGTAGGAGCTGTTTTCCCCGAGGCAGACGTGAAGTGAAGGAAACCAATCCTCAACCTCATAAACGGCTAGCTCATGTGATGAAGCTTGGCGGTCTGTAAGGTAAAACTGGATACCAAAGACCACACAAAAAATGGTCGAAGACCTGGAATTTTCCTCAGAAAGCTGACTGATCTCCAAGCAAAGTACAAACAAGAACAGGACCAAAGTGACTAAAGAACAGGACTCACCAAGATCTTCAGGTCACAGTTTTCCTGGTCCTGAAATGGTTCTTCGTTGACTCCTGTTCGTGCGCAACGAACTTCAGGACCGCGCCGCCCATGGGAGTGGAGATGCTCGCAAGCCTGGCCGAAGCCGCCAAAATCGCCGCAACGGAACAGGGTGATCGTCATGAAACACTTCTGCGACCCGAACAAACACTTCTGCAATTGCCTTCTTTGGGGGGGCGATGTCTTTTCGCTATAGACATCTTGTGACACGCAAAAGGTCGGCCCGTCTGGGACCGATAACCAAAAAAAAACGATGACCCCAAAGCGACCTGCCAAAGCTCCTCACGACGTCGAAGAGACGCTGTGGCGGAGACGCAGGGATCTTTTTTCTGCGGTGGCTCAAGCAGGTTCACCCGCAGTGACCCCGCACGCATCCATATCTTCCGCTGCCACGAGGCGGAGAGCAATGCGGCATGTGAAAGGGGACAGAATGAAGCACATGGAGGTCGATGAGTTATATTAGATTATGAGGTTAGAAACATCTAGATATATATCCACAATAATTAGATTTTATGATTTTTATGGTATTGTGGAAGTGATTGGCCATGGTTGGCCGCACCTCTCTTATCCTCGTGCAGTCCACACTCCTCGGTCCATACGCAAATATAGCAGGTTCTCAACATTTCTCAACTTGGCTACATCAACGTGCAGCGCAAACCAATTCAACTGATAAATGAACTCCCATGATGTTGAGAATCTCGCATCCGTTGATGCTGGGACATCAAATAGCCTGGACTCTCTGCCTAAGCAGGCCCCTTTGGGGCCCATCAACACACTGCCAAGAGCTGTGCTTGACTTCAACCCAGCGAGAATATTAACTGAGGGAGATTCAATAGAGCATACATGTTTGCTTTTAGCATTCCAAGTACCAACTGTGCTATCCGCTTTCTATCCTGGGATGTCCCGTACCCTCCACATTGTAAAGTGCCGGATGTTAATGTCGGGTGGCCGACATCCGCAGCCATGCGCAAACCAGCAGGGTGAGCTAACTCTTTGGCCAAGTGGGCTTCGCTGCAAGCAAAGCGATGGGAAGATCGTCATCATCCTCCTCGGCATTCACCACGTCCACGGGCGGATCCGCAGCGGGCTCCTTCACTGCACGAGGAACTCCCGGGGGCTTTGTCCTCCTCCTCTTAACGACCAGCTGTCCGAGAGGAGTGTCTTCGTCTGCATCGTCTTCGTCCTCACCCTCGTCCTCAAATGTGAAAGAGCAAAACGGAGTGAAGGGAGGTAAACGAATTTCAGAGGAACCAGTAAAAGAACAGCTGGGTCAGCATGTAGTTTAAGTGGCTTCCGGGCAGTGTTGAATCAACCTGCACATGGATATGACATGATATGAATTCAATCCCCTCAAAGCTTCCAGCACTCATGCAACTAGGAAACTGCCCTGCCATTTGCATCACAAGGCGAGTTGAAGAATTCCGAAGAGCGAACCTCTCCCTCTCTACTTCATATTTCAAGTGAAACGTCAAGGCCGCAAAATTACAGGCTATTCGTCTCCACCCTCTCCACTCAACTTCCATCAACATCCACTCTCACAGAGCGACCATACATTTTCCGGGCGCCCAGTGATGCCCAGTGGCTTGATTCACTTCGCCACGAAAGTGGATGATCCGCTCCAAACCTTGTCATGAGCTCATGCATCGGCTGCGGGCTGGACATCTTTCAAACAATCCAAATGCAATAATCTCCACTCTGCACCCTTGCTAACATCATCCAACATCCAACCATACAGACTGGAAATGACTGGAAGCACTCTCCTCACTCCGGAAAACACTTCTGGTGATCCATCGTGGCCGTAAACAACTGGATGAACAGAAGGATAGGGCCCGCCCTAGGGAACACCCGGCAGGACGCGGGGTGTGTGGTTTCTTTCTGATATGTTTCGTCCAAAAATAGCCGATCCCTCAAAATGTGTACGATTCACTCTTGTGCTTCAAGAGACGCACTTGCTGCTCAAATTTCATTGCTGGTGCATTGGGATTACACCTTAGAAGGCACGCGCACGCACATGGCCCGGGATATCGGACGGAACAATCGCCATAGGTTGGCCAGCACCAAGAGACCTCTTGGACTCACTAAGCCACTAGGCCTTTCTTCTATAGCCCCAAAATAGTCAGACTATCCGAGAATGGACTTGCCGATTTGCCTATATTCATCCGGGAAAATTTGTAGTGCGTTCCAGTCATGTCATTGGCATTGTATAGGGTTCGACTAGCTCAAGAATGCTCAAGAAATGCTATGGACAGGGAGACCTCTATACCATCTGGACCATCTGCTCAAACCTAGCCAGGCACTGTTGACCAGTTGTGTTCGTTCGACGTGTCACGGTGACTATTTGCAAGGGCAGAGAAAGGCCCACAACTCATCCTGTGCCTTGCCAAAGAAACTCTGCAGAGTTGTCAAACGACAGAGTTGTCAAACGACAAACAAATAACATGTTCCAGCTGTTGTTGTTTCATTGTCCCACCTACGTGAGCTTCGCCAAGCAGTCTTGCACACGCAGGAATCTTGTACCCATCCCCAACAAACAAGACACTCCTCCAGGTTGTGGAATTTCCAGTTCTTGTTTTTCAGCAAGATAACTTTGAGGATCCTTCAGGAGAGCCACTTGTTCCGCGATTGGAGTATACTTTAGGGAATATGCGTGGATGTGTCCTCGCCCCACCAACACTAGGTGAATCAAAACTCTTAGAACCAAAAAAACATAATGACGCATACAATTCACCCACCTTTCATGAGTCTCTGCGACACTTGCTACCTAAAAGGCTTTTGCCTGGCAGATCCATGGGGTCGAGGTCGGGGCCGCCACCGCGACTACCCAGACTTGGCTGCTGATCCCTTCCAAATGGTTTTGTCCAGTTTCCCCAAGACAATATTCACCAAACAGAGAAGAACTTCAATAGTAGAAGCTAGCTGCATCCTGTGAACCGGTTCACTAAGGACCTTGGGCAGTCTAGTTTTGTTTAGATCCATCGTTTGCTGCTAAAGTTTTCTGCTGAACATAATATTATCCCTGCAAACTACTTTCTTTCAAGTGACCCCAACCCTGAGAGGCGATGTGGAAGAGGGCAGGGCTGACACAATCTTCTGACATTTCTTCTGCGGTCAGGTCTGACACGCATTCTGACATATCTCCGGCATGTACTTCTGACATGTGCTCTCACATCAAACTTGGCATGTGCTCTGAACTGTGTTGTGACATATGGTCTGACTTCTGTGTGGATATGGCGTCTTTGAAACTTGTTCTGAAATATGTTTTGTGTTCTGCTATCACATCTGGCATTGGTTGCGACATGTGTTCCGACATGTGTTCCGTCACCGACTCTAACAGTTGTTCTGGGATTATGTCTCACAAGTGTTCCGGCATCTGTTCTGAGATGCGTTCTGGCATCTGCTCTGACATGTGTGCTGGCATCACGTATGGCATGTCTTCTGGCATGTTTTCTGGCTTCTGTTTCGAGACTTGCTCTGATATGTGTTCTGGCAAAAGTCCAGTGCACACCACTCTGCCGCCTGAACCAGTAAGGGTCGGTGCCAATGAGTTCCGCAAAGAAGCGGCATGTGGGCACCGGGTGGGCAGTGGCGCGGGCGAAGCAGGGACATAGAATCTAGAGACCCTCACCTGACAGGTGGGGATTAATTTCTGAACCAAGAGAACCCAATTCAAAATCAAAAAGGTTGTTTCGGCTGAATGAACAAAACCCTCCAACATTGTGATATTATTGTCTACTTGAACCCTCCAAATTCGCCGGTGTCCTCCGCTCTCTTCGTCGATGGCTGGCTTTCTTCACGTCCCAATCAGAGGGCAAACGAGTCTGGCAGCCTTTCCCCTTGGAGCGCATCGCGCCGCCTGAGGCAGCGAGCACTTGAGGCAGACGACTCTGCAGGATCCAATTCTGTAAACCTCCCGAAACAGTCTGAGATACAGTCTCCCATCACTGGTTGTGAAGCAGAGTAGCAACAATGGACTTGGGTGGTCACGAACCGACTTTGTTGATAAAATTACCATCGGGAGATCTCCCTGCAGTTGCACGAGATATCCCTTTGATATCGTAAATGTTGTTGATGAAGCGGGCCCACAAACAACTGTCTGTCATGAGGAAATTTGGAAGACAAAAAATATGTCCAGAAGTGCTGCAGAGGCCGAAGTGCTACAAGTACCCAAAAAATGTCCATCCGTCTTGCAAGACTCAATCAACTTCTGAAACATTATGTCTGGCAAGACTCAACTACCTTGCTTGAAAGGATGGCCACCCCTCCCCTTCTGATCTGACGTTTGCGAAAAGCGACATAAACCCAGCCACCCACCCATCAACCTTGATCTAACCGTTCAAATGAGCACCACCTTTCCCCCTCGTTGTGGCTATGAAACCCATGCGGGCCTCGTTCACCGCCTCCCCAGAGGCCACCAGACTCTCTCGGCTGCCAGGTACCTCCAACCCGACTCACTTCGCGTGTCCGAAAAGGCACCTTTTTGGATGCCAAAAGAAACAAATGAAGCAAATAAGCAAGGACGCTACGAACGGGGCTCCTGGCCTTACTACTCTGAACAAGGACGCTACGAACGGAAAAGAAACAGATGAAGCGCAGAGAACCACGTTCTTCAGAGAACCACGTTCTGCTGCTCCCCTGCCTCGCAGTGCTCGGTACCTAAGTCCGGACCCCAAAGCAACGACCACAACGCATTAATTAAGTGCCACTGCAGTAAGAACATGCTTGGACTCTGCTGAGGAACAGCTCAAAGTTGTGCTTCTACACGAGAGGGCAAGTTAAGAACACAATAACACTTGGGTGATCTTGGGATATCTTGGGTATGTATTCGATTAAGGATACCATCAAGAGAACTGGAAGCGGAAAATAGACCACAACCCATTGGTGGTGGGTTCTCCTCTCAAAATACAGACACACGTTACTTCACTCAAAAGGTTCCATTATGTAATCGTTTCTCCGCACATGGCAGCAGCATGCCGCTCCTAAGCTCCCGGCCAAAAGACATGCTTATCCACGATTCGGTGGTTGTCCACCCTCATCACTTGCTGATTGCACCTGAGGTCAGAAAGGCGGTGCGCAACATGTGATCGCTTCTGGTATTCAGATTTTTGACCACTTATATAGTTGTACACCTCAGCAACCAGCATAGTCTTTCAACCACACCCATCTCCACCTCAAAAGTCGCTATGACCACAGATTGATCATGCAAAAAAAAAAAAGAACATCCAAAACGAACATCCTTCTTCCCCGCCTCTGGCAGGTCACAATCCACTTGTGATAGACATTGCAGTTCACCGTCGCTGGCTGGGCCTTGTTGTGCCGCTTCGGAGCTTCAGAGTCACTGTCGTCCACCTCGTGCTCCCCGTCGGTGTCCTCCTCGATGCCTAGTCGCCCCAATCCTGGCGGAGACGCCCGTGATCCATGCCGGCCTTGCATCAGGCGTGGGAAGTGGGGTGCGATCGATCACTCATTTGGGGCAATATTCTCGTCGAACTATTGCAACATATTGCAAGATTCTTTGGTTTTGTGGCTTCGGTATGCAGGTGGTGGTTGAGCACTGCTGATCTGCGGCATTCTTGGGTCTCCTGTTGCCTAAGAGCCCACCGGGGCAAGTGGCCACCAGCCGTCTCTGGGCCACCCCAATGTCTCTACAGGTGTGCGTATTGAAGTATGAAGACCTCCCAGGCAGCGACCCCTGGAAGAAGGGCAAGGACCAGTCTACCCCTTGGGCCAGGGCCTTAAAGCGATGCATGGACCGCACGGACTGCGCGTATCGCCAGTCCTCGTAGCCATAGCGCCGCGCAAAGCCCACCGTGAGCTGGGACTCCCGTTTGGGGACCCCGTGGAAGTCTTCCTGACAGGTTTGAAACAGATTCCACCACAAAGAGAGAGAGAGAGAGAGTGAGTGTGTGTGTGTGTGTGTCTTGTTGGGTCTGTCATGTATTCGTTTGGTTTGCATGACTTTGGGACAAGCAACCTTCATGATTCATGATTCATGATGCCTGAAATGGCCTGAATTGGTGGGGTGTTTTTCGACTCCAGGTGCCTGAATTGGACGGTTCCCAAGTCGATCCCCGGAGTCGATGGGAGTCGTGCTATGGCCTCTGGGGGGAGCCGGCTTGAGCCTGCTTGGGCTGCCTCTTTCCAAGTGAAGACACCAAGGTAACTTGGGACTATGGAAACGACGATCTCCAACGAAAACACTCCGAAGCATCACTCATGTCATGACTTGTTCGAGCGAAAATAACACGAGGTTCAGAAGTTCAGAACAAGTTCCCTACCAGAAAACGAGAGAAAGAACAAACTCAAAAGCCGAGCTGAGAGGAACACGTCCACAAAAAGTCACTCGGCTCGGCTCGCTCATTCGCTCTCGCTCGTTCGCTCGTCTCCTCTTTCGCTTCTGCTGGCTCGTCATCTTCCACTTCAATGACCTCCACTGGCTTCGACTCGTCATCAGAGGTCACCGGCGTGGTCGGTGTGGGTGGTGGCGGAAGAAACAGCGAGGGCGGCACCGGTGGAAAGGAGTGCGAACCTGGGAGGCATGAGCGATCGATGAATGGCGCACCATGTTCACACCAAGCCACCTCTCATCCCTGAATGGCGCACAGGAAGACAGCTCTGTTTAGGCATCTACTCATGGATGTCTCAGCGTGCACGTGTGAAGATTGGTTGGCAACTCATTAGTTTCAGCTTTAGATCATAGCAAAGGAGCTGGAAGGGCTTCCACCAATGGGGGCACTTGAAGGAAATGAGAGCCTTTCTTCACGAGGTAGAACAACATGCAGGAAGGGGCAACGCGGTAGGCGTGGGCAGTCCTGTGGAGGACTTGGGCAGTGGATTTAACATGAGTTGTTGAAAACAGGAGCAGTGGATTTGACTCGGTTTAAAGACTGACACTTTGAGATATGTATATATATATATATGTATATTGTATATCAAGCTGAATAAGCCTCAAGAAAGTTCTCACTTTTTTTGTTTTGCTGCTGTTTGTATCAATCGTCCTCTGTCCAGTGTCTTCTCTGGAAATACTCACCTACAGTTGCTTCAAGCAGGCTCAGCTATAAACTATCAGCTGTCCGGTCAACCTACAGCCTTGGTTTTGAAAGGCGGTCATTCATTCGAAGCCTCAATTGATCTAGAATAGCAAAAAAAAGGATCAAACATCGACCATCGCGTTGGTCTGCGAAAATATAAACTGAATCTAAATTCACTCACTCGATCTGCGTGAATCGCTGCCAAGCTATGCCAAAGTCACAAATGTCGAGGTGCTTAAAGTCACACAAGCGGTTGGTGCCTCGTCGTTTGGCTGAAGTGTTTCGACTCACTGCTGAACTCCAACTTAGGTCTTTTTCAGTTGACCCTTTTCCACATTTCAGGTAGGAAAACCCTGCAAAAGAAAGTGCTAAGAAGCAAACCTGGTTTGCACCACACTGATCCGCACTGAACCCTGTGGTTCTCTCTCTCTCTCTCTTTCTCTCATCTGATCTTGTCTTCCTTCATCTAATGGAGCACTCCTATGGACCGCAGCTCAACCGCACCAAACCGCACCCCCCTCAGAGCGTCATCTTGACCGTTTCCCTAATTTGTCCCGCTCAGCGACATCCACCACGCATGAGATACTTTCGGCAGTAACTCTGGTGGATGAGCTTGCACCTGAGGTGACTTGTCAAGCCGATCGTCGTTTCATACAGCAAACAACGCAGCAAACGCAGCCGTTCGTGACGGGCCGGGCCCGAAGCTGGGAAAGGTCTGAACGGGTGCCGAATTACTCGAGATGAACCGAGCGCCCTTCGTTGGAGGGATCCATATACTTGTTTGGGGTGCTTCAACGCCTCACTGCACAACCCCATACGTGGGCTGCCAGTCAGAAAGACGGTCGTAAACATATGCAAACGTGCACAACTGTCCAGCGGGCGCGTGTAAAGGCAAACGGTTTGCGCACCGGTCTTCATCTGTTGCAACAAGTCGTTGACGCGAACTTGACAGCGCTTTATGAGGTGAATGAGCACTCTGAAGCACTTGACAATGGTTGTTCATGATGTCTCCTCCAGCACTTGATGGTGTAAAGCCAAGCCGCCGAGGACCAAAAGAGCAGTCATTCTTGTGAAGGTATTGGCGACCTCAGAACTTCCCCGACATGGAAAGGACATTGAAAAGTCCAAACCAAAACGCCACGCCGCTCTTCGACTAAAGACGTATGGTGGCCTAACTGCTTTGGGGCGTGACATTCATGGTCCTCATGGTCCTCGACTTTTCTCATTTTTCTCTGGAAAGTCAAAAGGTCGCAAAAATGCAACTCGAACAGGCTGAAAACAAAGCTCCTCAACACCCCTCAGCCTTCAAGTCACCCTCACAAGCAGAGCACTCAGAGTTTTTCATCGCACTCAGAGTTTCTCTTCGCTGGTCTGATGGTCTGTCGTTTCAAAGACCAACACGTTTGCAACACTCATGTGCTATTGGAACCGTTGGAACATCTTGGAAACCCCCAACAACTCTGGATGACGTCGGGGCACTTCGGCAGTTCTACCCCTATCAAGGCTCTCACAGATACGTTTTATCATCCTTCTATCGTCTAAGATGGTCCGCGAAGGTCAGGAACCGCTAGTGAAGGCCTGTGATTGTCCCGTCACCCAACTGCAAAGCCTTCAGCCAATAGCCAATCCCAGCTGCAATATTTCTTCAGGTTGATCCACCTCAACTCCTTCTTCCGCTCAGCATATTCCGGCGCTGCAGAGGGGGGCCGGCCGCAAAGCGAGCGATTGAGACGGTGACACTGCAGCGTGCGGTGGCCAAGACGCTCGATATGCGGAGCTCGGCGTTGCTTTTGGGAGTGGGAACACTGCCAACTCCCTGGCATTGTCGAGTTCCTTGTGCCTTTGCTTTTGTCTCTTCGCTTTCGCTTTCTCTCTTTTTGCTTTTTCTTTTTTTGCTTTCTTTTCTTTCTTTTCTCTCTTCCTCTCCTTCCTCTCCTTCTTCTCCTTCTTCTCCTTCTTTTCCTTTTCTTTCTTTTACTTCCCTGGCTTTTCTCCTTTCTGGTGCTTTTTACCTTTGCCGGAACCTTTGCTCTGGTCTTTTTTGGCAAGCGCTTTCTGCTCCACGGCTCGACCACCCCCACCGAATCCGTGTCTCAGTGGCTTGAAGCGTGGCATGGCGCTCTTGGACCATGTTGACAGGTCAAGTCGATCTGCATCGGTTGTCGTGATCATGTCATGCTCGCTGTTGTTTCTCTCATTTTGATGGGCTGGGCTGGATGATCTTGCGGTTGTGTCCGAATCTTCAAAGACTGCGGATCGTGGTTTCCTATACCCTGTTCTCAGGAGTCGCGGGTTTATTCTCGCGGGACATATCCTCTCTGCAGGGTAAGTCCAATTCTCTTGCGATTGACAGCAAACTTGTTCATTCAATATCAGTTAATGATTTAGCTTTGCGGGTGTGGGAAAAAGAAGGATAAATAACATGTACAGTAAATTTAGTTGCAGGTGTATACAGACTGATCACCCTGCGACGGGTCAGCTTCTGCTTGCCAAGACCTTGAGGTTGCTCCAAGCCAAACAGCTCTAGCTACCTCTTCATCACATGCAAATCGTATCTCAACTCATCTCAAGAGTTTACCCGTTTGCCCAGTCTAAATGTGTTTAGAGAACTTTGACGTCTTCCCTACCACCAAACTCCTTTGTTGTCCAACTGTCTGTTTGCCACCCCTTCAGCTAGACCTGCCTTGCGGCCGCCTGGGCACCTGGGTGATGCATGGAGTGGCATAGAGAAGATTCACTTGATAGGAGTGTGCATTTCAAGTGGGGGGGGGGCACTCAGGTTCTCTTTTTCAGCAATCTCAGTGTTTCGTTCGATGCTTCATTCGACTCAGGCAACAGCACACGCACAGGATTGTTGCCAGATCGAAGGAGGAAATTGGCTTTGGAAGAAGCAACAATTAAGGGAATTCTCTGCGGGTGCTCTTGCTCGGTGAACTATCCAGCAGGTGAAGAACAAACAAAATCGTGTGGTCCTGTAGCATAAGCAGGATCCTGTGCGAACACCACCAGTTGGCTAATTCACCCACTTGACCAAAGGAAACGTGCTCCAGAGCAAGTGTTCGACTGTCATAACATCAAAATAAAAAACCTGTCTTGGTGCCTGGCAGAGATGTGCAGCTGTGAGATGTATCCTGTGCAGCTTCATCGGAGAGCGGTGAAGCAGAATTTTGGTCGAGAAGTCATCACAGTGGTGTCAGGGGTGAGAAATGGCCCTGGCCCCCCCGTTCGATGTCTTTTGGATGGGGCCATATAAGCCACCGAACTTGGGGATTGTGCCACCTACGCTGAAACCACTGTTCAACAATCTGACAATCTGACATCCTACTACTTAGGTCAATTCATCATGAACCAATTGCTCAACAAGACCACAAGTGTAAGAGTAGAAAGTAACTTGAAATCTCTTTCATTCTGAGCCAGCACAAACAAGAACCTGTATGGCTGATCCCAACAACAAGGTTTGCTGATCATCTCGTTTTTCCCAAGTTCTCCCTATTGTCCCTCAAACACTTGCGACAACATGGTTGAAGTATGTTGAAATTCCCCAAACTAATGGGGTAAATGTACTGGTAAATGTATATACATGCCAGGGGGGAGGATGGTTTGGGACATGGCTAGGTCGTCCATGTCTAAAAAACCGTCCATCATGCTTCGACTGGAGGAACCTACTACAGCATTTACAGGGAGATCCTATTGCCTAGATTGGAGAAAGAAAGACTATGGGATATCATGGGATCAAGGACACCTCCATAGGATTTGCTCTTGAAAAACAGTAATTAGTGGAAAAAAGGAAACTGATTATTTGCGGTGGTTTGGTTCACTTGGTATCGCAATTTCGTCAGTCTCTCGGCGGACCTGATTTGCCGGGACTTATGCGGAAGCCACGCGTAGCTTCCAAAAATGCTACAAGTAGTTGCTTCTGCACTTTTATAAGATGAGCTTTGGGGGGTGTGCGGGTTTCCGTCCTGCCAACTTCACTACCCCAAGGTTGGTCCAAAAGCCAAGTCATGTTTGCACCCCACAAACCAACCACACATATTCATTGTATGTTCCCTCCACGGGTCTAAAGATTGACTCCGAAACTGCGGCAGCCTTTTTGAACACTCTCATCTGCCTGGCCCCGTGGAGACGCATGGCCAGGACGAACCGCATGTTCCAGGACCGGAGAAGCCGTATACTCCTCTAGCTGCAGGATGCCTTGCCATCCTCGGAGGTGCAGCTGCAGTGGCGGTTAAATTTCATGGCGCCCTCCGCGCCGCTCTGATAGCCTTCCGGGCACTGATAGGTCAAGGCCCCGAGGTCCATCAATTGCAACTGGTCATTGGACTCGCCTGGCAGAATTTGGGGTCTCCAAAGGGCGGGGGAGTTGAAGGTGATCCTCGATGCTCAACAACGAGTCTAATTATTCGACTTCAAACGAGTCTAATCAGCTGACCCCAGAGATTCTGCCAGAGATGTTTGTGCAAAACAATCGACCAAACACACTGGCATTCCAGTTCAAACGACTTGATGAGAAACCCTGCCTGGCACCTTGGTACAAGTGCCTAGTGGGAACTGTTTGACATAGAGGCCATGATTTAGCGGACAACGGCGCTTGTACTCGTAAGAGATGCACTCCTCTTTGTACTCCTGTGCTGGTGTCCAAATCGGGCAAAATAGATCGTGCTACAGTGCTACAGTTCAAGCGTGAGACAAAGAGGCTATCAACTGTGTTTTTTGTGGCGATGGCCTCATGGCCTCCGACCTAACAGCGATGGCCTCCAACTAGCATTATTTTCCTCAAAGACCAAACACGCTTTACAGGCATGCCTCAGTCCACATATTATATCACCTGAATATCTCCTTCACACCATAAGAAAACTCCGGAGGATTTTGTTCAGCGTTCCAGGGTGGAGAATTCATGAGAGTCCAAAGCTCATTCCATCTCACAATTCCAGCCCTTTGGAACGCCTTTGAATTCTTGGGGTCATGCTTGATCCCACACATTGGCTCCTACACATCTATGCCCATGTTCAAAAAGAACAAACTCAGTTTGATGAGCAGTATGCACATCAGATCGCGCAAGACGTCCGGCTCCTGATGGTATGCAGTCCAGTGCTTCGTCTTATAAACTGGCACTGAGTGCGAGACTTTGCCCACGCGACGGAATCGTGTTCCACTCCGCACCCGTTTGCTCTTCTTCTCTGATCTGATGTAACCCACCTTCTGGTTGCCCAGGCATTTGGCTTCCCACTGCTGGCCTAGGGCGTTTTCAAAGCCCAGAAACACCAGTGATCAAACAGGTCCCACATGTTGCCAACTCTTCTGCACAAGTTGATTGGGTATAGTTAGAAAATCCTGAGCATCTGTTCATGAACACCCGCAACCAATCTTGTAACATATATAAATCACTTCAAAGGAAACCAAGTCATTAGAGGTTGGTGAGGTTGGTATCAATTGCTCCTTTTTGTCTGCATCGCCCATGGGATTTTGCTGCTTCACCTTAAGAACTGCTTGCCGGTGCACGGGAGAACTTGTGGCCTGGTGTCCAGTCATAGTCGAACTGCTCAGGCGCTTCAGGATCCTGTGAGGTCACTTTCTTCGGCAGCTCCTGTGGCCAGACATGCGCTCCTCATGGAATCGGGAGCCTCCCAAACTCTTGAGGGGGACTTGGAGTGAATGAAGCGCTGGATCCAGAACTCTTGGGGCGAACTCTTGGGGGTCCACTTTCTCGCGGAAAACCATGGTGGGGCAAACCCGGAATTCTTGGGGGTCCTATGCATTTCTACGCGGGTAAAGAAAAGGTACTTGACACCCCCCACCCCACCCCACAGTGGGTTACAAGATGCCAAGCGAGGATCGTAGGAGTAGACTTTACATCTCCTACCAACACAATAAGCACGTTATAATAAATGTGTTGCCAACATCCTGTCACACATCATTGTCCATCTCTTCCAAACTTGCAGTGACTGTTTATCCGTACCAGGTTGTCAAAACCACTGTGTGTTTGGCCTTTTTTTGTTTAGCTTGACCACGAAGGAGGGTAACCCAAGGAAGCAACCAATCAGGGTCGTTCAATACAAGAAAGCATCTTGCTGTAGATTAACCACTGAAAGCTCCCAGCTGCCTCACAGGGCCATTGATCCGTTGGATTCAGGGAACCGGGATGTAGCTGCGTGGCGTAGCTCCAAAGCAACACATCCAGAGCTTTGCTTTCGCTTTCGCTTCGCTCCGACATGGTGTTCGTCGCGAACATCACATCCGTCCTTATCCATCTCCTCGGGACTGGGAGGCCATGCGATGCTCCCCTCATCTAAGTCGTGGAGCTTGGTCTCCGTGTACGTGCCGTTCACCACGAACGGCCCCAGAGAGGACGATGCACCGCTGGGGACGGGCAAACAGCGCTGGGCTTCTTGGACGGTGGCCTGGCAAACAAAGAACTCGGATGTCAAGGATAGTTGTAGGTTGTGCCAGCTGGTGATGGCCTGTGATGGCCAACAAAACCTCTGAAACCTCCAAGTCTTGTCAAGTTTTGAGGAACAACACGCTTCAGCGTGAGAGTGTGCATTAGAATAGGGAGACCTTCCAATTCGACCCCAATGAAGGTTCGGAAAATAGACCAGTCTACCCAGCCAGGGGTAGGGGATCTCTCTATTAACAAAACAAGCATCATATTATGTGTTTAACCAATGGGTGAGCCGCAAGCTCTGCGGGATAGTTTCAGCACACCAGCTATTTTCTACCACTCAGCGTGATCACATGTCTGAACCGAAGAGTCACCCTCGATCTATGCCGCCCACATGTCTTCCTCGTAGCCGCTCGTTCCAAAGTACGTGATCTGCAGAATGCCCCGGTAGCTTCATATTCACTCCATTTGCTAGGAATTACGAGGATCTCTCTGATCTCTGCACTCCGAATTTCCGAATGACAAAAAAAAACTCTAGCACGGTCGCCGCAGCCTCCAAACAGCAGCATTCGTCGGGGCGTTTGGCGCGGAGCCGACAATCAGCTGTGTCCAAGTCCTCGTGAAGAGCGAAAACCCCCCAAGCAAATCAAACAGCACTCCGACACATTGCCCAATCGACCTATTGGTCTCAACAGGACGATGAAGACTGAAGACCCCAGCTGTTCTCCAGCTATACCTAGAAACTAGCTATAGAAGGCATTCCGAGAACCCATGTCGAGTCTGGCGTGTTGGTTTTTGGCACACAGATCAGATCTCATCAAAACCATTTATTTGGCGTGATCCATTTGGTCCTGGAAATGCTGAGAACACAGCAAAGCAGTGTCTTGTCCCGGCACAGCATCTTTTCCCTCGACTCCTGTCAGGGTCAAAGCATGTCAAAGCAGCGAGATGTAAGTTCAAAAACTGTGAAGTCAAGTGGCTGAGGATTTGTTGAAGAGCTTTGATACGCCTTCCATGTTCTAATTTCCACAATTGGAGTGGAGGATGATAGAGGGTAGGCCTGTGACGACAATCCAGTCTCTACTTTCCAGCTGCGGTACCAGCCAGCCATGAAACCCTACTCCGATGCCCCCCTTCCGACTTCAAAGCGATGGCAAACCAAAAACGTCAAACGGTGTCGGGAGACCGGATGGCCAATTAGGACTACAGAAGAGATGAAACACATCTTGTCAGCAACTGGTAGTTTCTTCTGTCAGAACCCATAGCGACCAAGCGGCCACGAAAAGTGCCTGGAGCGACAAATGCGCACCATTGCCCCAAACGATAAAACATTCCAGGTCCCTTACGCTGCATTCCGCAACCTTGACCTGGATCTATGGGGCTGATCGCCCAATTTCTTTCGTTGATATTTATCCTTTGGAACAACATGGAGGAGCATCTCCTGAAAACATAGAACATGGAGTGAAAGGTTGATCAACCGGTCTGCACCAGGAAACAGCCATAGCTTGGAATCCAAAACTGAACCGACAATGATCGACAATGAGTACAATATCAGATATCCTGGATCCTTTTCACAACCCCCCCTCTGGCATTTGGAGATATTTGGAATGCAAAATCTTCTCCATCCCTGGACGTGCGCCCAAGTCAACCGGGAGCTTACATCTTTATCATCATCCTTTGATGTCCAGGACCACCAGCCCGTGAATCGATTCACACTTCTTGGCAGAACATGGATTCCAGTTCCATTGGGAAGGTCAAAGTAAGCATATATTCTCCCAGGGATGGGCTGGGAATGGATTCCAGTCCCATTGAGAAGGGGTCACCAGAATGACCTCTCGAACTCGATTCCACTCGTCCTGAAGCCGCTTGTAGGAGACCCATTTGGAGCCTCTTCTCCAGAAACTCTCGCACAATAGCAGCACTCACCGGTGAGCCATCGTAGTCCGTTCCACCTCCACACGAGGTTTCAATCTAGTGGGTAAAGATCGGGAACCAGAGAAAGAACCACCAGGTCGCCGCCACCAAAGCATGGCAAATCTCAGGCGCTTGGCTCCAAAAACTGTTGGTGAATGCAGCAGAATCCATCTTGATCCCCCAAAACAATATTCACCCGTTTTAAACAACACGCTGACGCAAGGTCTTCGGTGGTGCTGGTGTCGTTCTGAAGATTCTGAAGCTCAGGATAGTAATATATCCTCATATATTTTGTATGTATTCCCAGAACCCATTCGACCTCCTTTGTGATGAGAAAAGGCTAAATGTTGCATGGTTTATCCTCCAAACTGGAGTGTTAGTCCAGGTCTGTCTATGCAGGGACCCTGCAGGGTCCAAAATACATGCGCGGAGGCATGTATTGGGTACTAAACCCAAATTCACTATCAATCACTATCAATCTTGTGGGGGGCCCCATCTCGTTTAGACTACTTGAGTAGGAGGTCATGTCACTGTATCTCGTTCAGACTACTTTAGTAGCAGATCACGCTATCTCGTTCAGACTACTTTAGTGTCATCATGTGTCATCAAGCAAAAGTATCTCGTTGATGTGGGGGACCTATCTCGTTCACAAGTGAATACTGATGATATAGAATCAATTAGAGCACGCCGTAGACTACTTTAGTGAAGCCTAAATAAAAGTGGCTGCTCACATGAGTATCATGAGTCCCCATGACCCACACGGAACCCCACGCGACATGACGCGATGGCTGGTGTTAAAGATGATGAATCCTCATTGGAGTTGTTTCCATCCTGGGACTCTTTTACTGAACTGCTGGTGGTCCCTTAGGAACTGCAGCTTTCATGGCGGGCCGACGTCCCCCGCACCGAACGTCGGACATAGAAACGACCCACACCTGTGACGTCGTCGAGCTGGAAGATCGGGCGGCTCTTGCCAAAGTACTTGTCGGGCCACTCCCAAATCTCCCTCACTATTTGGTACCTCTCCATCGCTAGTAACAAAGGGCATCGCTGCGAACGGAGCGATCGCAGGCTACGAACGGGGCTCCTGGCCGCACTACTAGGAACAATGTTTGCTATAGGCTATTAGAAACAATGAAAGAATTTGGTAACTTCGTCCAAGCTGGGCAAAAAGGCATGTGCCCAGTCATGACCTTGAGGCACCCACCAAGGTGCTGATTTGAAGAAAAACAAATCAAAACACTTGTTCAAACACTTCAGCGCCAAGCGACCCGAGGCCTTTTGCTTGCTTGATGTGCACCCCTACTTTCTGCTGCTCGTCCTCGCCGACGCGACAGCACACATCTGGTTCCAAAGGCCGCAGCTCCTCGGTACAAAGCTGAAAGTTCGCTTGCCGCTTGTAGCGCCAGCCAACGCGATTGTACCAAGCGCTCTTTGCCAACTTGCAACAAAGATGTGGTTTCTTCTCACCAGTTGCGACCTCAGGAAACGCACGGAGTTCCTCGAACCGTTTCTATACTCATGGATTGGCAGCCTCCCGATTGAAATCTCTTCTTAGTGGTCTTAGTGCGACGACCACCCCGCATCTCAAAGAAATTGCTGCAGGCGTCAGTGTCCTCTCACTATGCCTCCTCACCCTCCGCGCCACTCCGCTGTGGAGCTGCCCCGGCCTCACCGTGGAACCATCGGCTGCGTTCCGGCTGGTAGAAGCGCTTGCCCTTCCTGCTGGTCGGGCACTCGGCCACGGAGCGCACGGCGCGGGCTTGGAAGGTGTAGAAGAGGTCTCAGAAATAATGCCAAAGACCATGGGACTGGAGTTACACAAAGTTATATACATCAACCCAATCAGATTGGAAGAGTTTTCACGTTCGCCGATCGAAGATCGACCCCCCCCCCAGGTGGGAACCCATGAATTTTGCCTCCCACCGAAAGAAGGACCTGACAGCAAGCGTCGTCGGCCGTGGAGACTCCCTAAAGCAGGAGCGTGGAATCGCTGGGTAATGATGTTGCTTAAGGCCATTGAGACGCCCAAAGTCTAACTAGTTATATGGTAATTAGATCTTCCAACTAAAAATGCACCAAAGGCGGGCCGATGTTGCCCGGACATGGACGATTCATCAAAAGCGGTTTGAGGCGCGTAGGACTCCTAGGACCAGTCACAAAATCCATAATGAACTACGTCGGCAAATGGAACTCACAAACAATTCGATCTCAAAGCGCCACAAAATATGAGTGACCAACCATGGATGAAGGATCAATTGGATGGCCTTCTTGCAATAGCAACCCAGGTCTTCAAAAAGCTTCTCCTTGGTCACTTCTGACTCGTTGACGTACCACTTCTTTCCCGGTGTCCTCAACTGACTCAGTCAACTGGGTCTGGGCACAAGCCATTGGATTGAGCATCCGTGAATCTAGCAATCCGTGGGACGGCATCACAACCAATTCATTCCAGTGATTCACAGTGCGATAACTGAAAATGGACCTGACTAATGATTAAAGCCAAAGGTCAGGCGGGACCATTGCTCATGGACTCGTTTTGCCAAGGCGAACTTGGGTGTGAAGGCAATCAACCACAGCGCCGTGAACGTGCCCGGGAACGCCGTGGAGAGCCGCAACATGGACGAGCCGCTCACACACAGCGAGCTGCGCTGTGTAAGTTGCGAAAACAACAGGCGAGGCTTTGAGAGGCCATGGAGGCCACGGAACTGCGGCGCGCGGTGGTCCACATCGACATCCTATAAGCCAACATGTCCTTGACATTTTTTAACCACTCCTATCAAACAACCATGGTTTTACTAAGCGTTTTAGAGGTTGAGACTACAAGACCAGCCGTGATGGGTCAAGTCCTTCCAGCGGCGCGGCTGTTAACAACTGAACCTCGACGTTTCACCATAATGGTTGCTTCCTGCACTGTGCGCACACTTTGGTGAGTGGACCGCGTGCCATTTCGCTCTATTGTCTTGTGGAGTCACTTGGGCCACTGCTTTTGCCTTGTCCACGCACCTGGGCAGTTGCTCTCGTTTCAGAACTTCAACAAATACGGCAATGTCACTCCGCTTGTTAACCTAGAGCAAGAGGTTTCTAGTGTGCAGCAACGGTTCTTGCCTTCTGGCCTTCTGGGGGGAAGCTCCACGCAGTTCCAAGTCAGTGAAGCTCTGTTTCGCCAACGTGCCATATTGCCATTGCTGTTCAGCATGTTACAGCGCTTGGGGCCACGAAAGTGCACTTGTCAGCTCTCAAACATGGCCTTTCATCACAGGAAAGGTGCCTAATAAGGACAAAAGTGGACAAGCACACACTCTTCTTGCCCGGGAGGTTGACCTCAAACAGCGACTGCCAGTAATCGAAAACCATGGCGCTCTTCCGGCTGCCCAACACGGATTGAGCCGAGGTCGCACCATGTTGGCAAGCATTTGTTTTGTCTGGCTAATTGAAGAATTCCAATTTGTTTTGTCGCGCAGCACTGCTCCTGCCAGCAAACGTCTGGCAGAGTTTTATGTAGGCCGGGCAATGGCTCAAGAACTTGGGCCACACTAATGGTTCCCAGCAGGTGGATTGCGCACGGTCTCGGAGTCGGATGTGCACAGATTGCTTGACTGCCGCTGTCGGCTTGACCCTGCTGCTCTACCGCTGAGCACGCTGCGTAACCATCCGCGATAGACTACAAGACCAGGACACCAGTTTAAAGTTATCTTGGAGGGCAAGGATGTATAGTGTATACACACAGTGTGTAGCGCGATAGAACCTGGTAAGTTGGTGTAAAAAGGTCCCAATTCGGAGATGGTACCGGTGTTGTTTCCGAACCAAGCACCTTACATTCGGCTGCTGTGTCAAAATGTCTTATGACAGCACTTGAAACAGGAAAGAAGCATACGGCGTATGATTCGCAAGCGTTTGGAATCAACTCCGTCGGACAAGGAACTTTTGTCGACTCCCACACAGCACCTGGATCTGGAGGATGTTGAAGTCTGCAGAATGTCAAAGGACAAGCGGAAGACCTCCCCAACATCACCCACTGCGGAATCACCACCGCAGAAGACCCGTGAGTCCTTTTCAAGGGGACATCAAAGCCCAAACTCTTGGAAGCCCGTAAATCCAACGCCGAACAATGTTGCCTATCAACCCACGCACGCCAAACGCTGGGATCTTGAGTGTAACCTGGGTTAGAATCGGTTAGAGCCCGCAAGAAGAAGCGGCTCAGCGATTTAAGAGAATTTGCGCGCACGCTAAATTCGGTTTTTTCGTTTTTCAATATGTTCAAAAATCCTGGGGGCTCACAATTCGCTGCTATTTACGGCAACCTAGGGAAAGAAACTGCGGACACAGGTGGAGTGAGTGGCTGAGCTACAGCTTCGGCAGCGGGGCTGACACTTAAGAGAAACAGCTGTCGTAGGAAGCAGTACATTGGTGGAAGAAGTACAGTAGTGCAGATTTCGCAAGGTGCAGTGGGGCGTGGTCGACTTTTAAAGACTGCGGTTTTCGTGGGGGAAGGGCGTGTGCTTGGACGCTTCTGTGCGCGGCTGCTTGTGTCATGTGTTTTCATGGTGTTATTTTGGGTTGGCACACAACTCACTTGTGCACGCAAAACTCACCTCCCTTGCGCAAGCGATGTCGGCAGTGCGCCCCCATGTACACTTAACTTGATGGTGAAGAGGCCATGTCCAAAACATCACTTGCGCACGCAAAAGTTAACTCACTAGCGCGTGCATGAACCCTTTGCCCACGCTGCGACTCACTTGCTCACACAGGCATGTTGCATTGGAATATTGGAATGGCACCTCCCTCTTCTAAATTTACCCGCGGGTGGCTCGCAAAAGGCCTGCTATATTGGAATGGCACCTTCCTCTTGTAAAATTTTTCCCTCGCGTGGCTCACAAAAGGCCTGCTATGTTGGAATGGAAACTTCCTCTTCTAAATCCTAACCTCGCGCGGACTCGCGCGGCTCAAAAAAAGGTCTGCTCTCTTGGAATACTCTTCCTCCTCCACATTTTGCCCTAAGGTGGCTCACATAAGGTCTGCTATGTTGGAATGGCACCTTCGAGTGGCCCCTTCCTCCTCTAAATCTCACCATCAGGTGGCCACAAATGGGCAGCTATGTTGGAATGGTTCCTACCTCCTCTAAATTTTACCTGCGGGTGGCTCACAAAAGGTCTGCCATGTTGGAATTGCACCTTCCTCCTCTAAGTTTCACCCTCGGGTGGCTCACTCTGCTATGTTGGAATGGCACCCTCCTCCTCTAAATGCTCTGTCGTCGCAAAAGGTTTACTACCTTGGAATGGCCCCTTCCTCCTCTAAATATCACCATCAGGGGGCTCACAAATGGGCAGCCGTGTTGGAACCATCTCTAAATTGTACCCTCCGGTGGCTCACAAAAGGTCTGCTACCTTGGAATAATCCCTGGCTGCTCTGAATTTTAACCTCGGGTGGCTAGCAAACGGTCTGCTAGCTTTATTGCGTCGTGTAAGCACCATATGTAAGCAGTGCACCATGACATACATATGCGCAATGCGTATTGAAGCTTGTCGGTCTAATGTGTCTGTGCAGCTAAACAAGATCTGAAACACGAGTGTGTGCAAGTTGTGCAGTAATGCAGACCGAACAGCAACAAATGCAGCACAGTAGACCAAACAGCAACAAAAATCAACAGAAGCAACAAGAGCAGAAAAGCAGCAACGCAATCAAAGCAACAAAAAACCGAACCGAGTCAAAAAGAAAAACTAAGCACCAAAATAAAAGGTGAACACCAAAAGCACAACAACAACAACAACAACAAAGCAAACAAGCAGCAAAAGCAAGAAAAACAGTAAAAGCAAAAGCAATGCAGAGGAAAAGAAAAGAAAGCAAAAAAGAAGAAAAAGCAATGCAAAAAAAAGCAGCAAAAGCAAAAGCAATGCAGAGGAAAAGCTGCAAAAGCAGAAAAGCAGTAAAAGCAAAAGCAATGCAAAAAAAGAAGCGGCAAAAGCAGAAAAGCAGCAAAAGCAAAATCTGCTGACAAAAAAAAACAAAAAAAAAGACCTAAAAATGACCCTCCATTTAGAAAACCAGGTGTGAGATGCTATGAGTAATTTGTGTCAGCATGTTTTATGAAAACTCATGTTGGTTGGTTGCGAGGATATATGATTATATGTGTTTCACAAGCATCACCATCCTTCACAAACATGTTTCCGAGCTGTGGGAGAAGAACTTGTGACACAACCTGCAGAGCTAAAGTAATTTTTGCTCAGAGTTATTCATACAGCGCTCAGTAGCTGTCATCGCGAACGTTTCATGATGATGATGATGATGATGATGATGATGATGATGATGATGATGAT